GGGGGGGGGGGTGCTTGGAAGGCGTCCTCGGGGGTGGGACAGGGGCCGTATGGCCAACAAACGAAAAACCAGGGGAAAAAAAAAACCTGCCCTCTGACACCGCATGTGGCGGTGTGGTGTATAAGAGGGACCCGTGTTCTCGAACGACACACAAACAGTTGCGCCGTTCGAACGCCGGTCGTTTCCTCCAGCTTTCGAATACGGTGTGTGTGTGGAGAGAGAGAGAGAGAGAGAGAGAGCAACTGTTTTGGGGGACGAGGGGGCCAAACGGATCGCTGGAGGGGGTCCCCCCACCCCCAACCCCGCCCCCGCACCCCCTTCCTCCAAAACCACCACACCCACACCGCACACCACTGCGCCCCCTTCCCCCCCCCGCCTCCCCACACTGTACGAACGGAGTGCGGCCATAGCGCGGGCGTTCACTTTTTTCCCGCGCGCCACCATGTGGCACGCCCAAAGTTTAAACGCGTTTGTACGCGAACACACGTACATTCCATTCAAACAGCAACATAGGCCCCCTCCCCGCCAATAGGCTGGTGCACTGTATAGGCTGCATATTGTGAAGACGTGCTCCACCACCAAGCACATGCAAAAAATAGACTATATTATGGCGGTGTATCTTTCCGTGTTCTAGCTGAAGATTAATTCTCATTTTGCACATTGAAAGAGCAGTGGAGCGACGCCCTAAGGCCAGTAATGATTAGAGAGCCGCTGGCCTGAATAAAAGAAGCTGCGTAACTATTTTTTTGTTCAGTTTTTTAAGTTTTGTTTTTTTGACGTCCCTTATCATTTTATTAATAGAACTGCAGATTGGGTCCAGCGTCCCTTACATCACCTAACCGCTCAATGCTTCACTTCGTTTTGATCACCGACGAGTGCGTACTTGCACTAATCTTAAATGTATCTGACAACATTTACGACCGGACCTGTATGTATCTGACCGCAATTGCGTCCACAAACAAGTGAAAAGAATTGTGAGCATACCCTGAGACAGCAGCGTTTATTAATTCCTTTTTCAGGAAGGGATGTGCTTTTGAGGCTTAAGCTCTACTACCCCTGCTTCCTTGAGCTTTTCTAGCCCGAAATTTTGGGTCCAAAGCTTTTCCACTCTTACACTAAACCTCCCGCGTAACTCAATGCGCAAAATTGGCAAGAAGAATCCATCTCAGTTCCCTGCTGTGAATTATCAGA